CAGCTGGGGCCTGATCCTGAATGCAGCAGCCCAGGGCTGCACTTTGGGGACATTGCCAGCCCTTCCTGCCCTGACCCTCTCCCTCCTCCTCCTCCTCCTCCTCAGTGCCCTGAGTGTCTGAGCCCCAGCCTGGGCTGTGAGCTCCCACAGGATCAGCCAAGCCCCCCCAGCAGCCCCGTGTCCCTGCCAGCTGTGGCCCATGGGCTCAGCAGGGCATGGCCAGCAGCCCTGGCCTTGCCTGGGCCACATCTGCCCAGGGCCACACGTGTCCCCTGTGCCCTGGGTGATCCCAGAAGTGTCCCCGTGCCCACGGGCTCTGCAGGCACCAGTGGCCCCAGCCCTTGCACAAAGTCAGCCAGCTCTGGCTGCCTGGGAAGGTGTCCCTGAGTGAACAGGGTTCCAAAGTCACCCTGAGCACAGAGCAAGGCAGGACCACTGGCAGGAAACATCAGGAGCCACAGCAGATGCAGGGACAGACCTGGCAGCACCCCAGGGCAGCTGTCCAAACATGGCATCAGGCTGGAAAGGTGAGGGAAGAAGAGGAAGAAGGAGCCTCTGCCCAGAGCTGACAGCAAGATCAAGGCTCCCACAGGCAGAGCTGGAGCAGAAATGTAGGATTGGGGCTTTGAGGGCCCACATCGTTTGGGGATGGAGCCAGGATGGTTTTTATATTATAGCTGTAGATGTTGATGAAGATGTTCACTGTTCTGCTTTTCCATTAAAATAATTTCATCCATACCCTTTCTATGTCTGCATGCAACGGGAGCACACAGGGCTCCAGGACATGGTACTCAAGAGGTGCAAAAGCGTCTCTGAGCCCCAAAGCAGAGCCACCAAGTCCCAAAGGGCACCAAGAAGTCCCAAGAAGCCCCTGCACCAAGAAGTGCAGGCAGTCCTGGAGGGGGACTGTCCTGAGCCTTTCCCCATGGAAAGCAGCCAGGGAGCCTGGACAGGCAGTGCCATACTGGGCTCATGGACACAGCCCCACGCCCAAAGCAGCCCTGAGTGCACCCTGGGCACAATCCTTCCCTCTTGGGGCTTTAGGTTCTTCCCCCAGAGATGTATTTAGGCACTGAACAGGCTCCCCAGGGAATGGGCACAGCCCCAAGGCTGCCAGAGCTCCAGGAGTGTTTGGATAATGCTCTCAGGGATGCACAGGGTGGGATTGTTGGGGTGTCTGTGCAGGGCCAGGAGCTGGACTCGATCATTGTTGTTGAATCCCTTCCAACTCAGGATATTCTGTGATTCTGTGATTCATTATTTGAGTTTTATCAGCTATGAAGAAGAACTGGGAAAATGATTTCTGTCAGCAGCTGAGGAGAAGCTGCAGAAGCAACAGCAACAAAAACAAGGGATTGAAAGAAGCGTAGATTCTTGACTTAAATGGTGACAAGGTCTAGGTAGAGAACTCAATTTTCTATGTATCTGCCATAATCACCTTTATATTCCTATAATTTGGTAATAAATTCCTTTGGGAGCCCTCAAGAAGTCACAGCAATTCATCTGTGAGGCTGGAAGGTCTAATACTGCTCTCAGACAGATTAAGGCACATCCAACTAGAAATCAAGAAACCAGATTACACCAGCACTTGCTCGGTCTGAGCAGCACCAGAATGGTGAATTCCTAACTCACATCTTCATCAAAGCAGGAAAAAAAAATCGGGAAATACGTCACTTGAAAACCTGGAGAGCGTCCAGAGATGTGCAATGACTTAAGAGAATGAGAAAACCTCCTTGACAGTGATGAACTCCCAGAGTTCTGTTTATCTTTTCTTGAGGGATGACCGCAGCCTGCAGCGCTAAGTCTGGATAACAAAACCTGGATAAAAGCAATCTCTTCATTCCAGGGAAGATAAGCTAAGCTGTGACGGGTGGGAGCCAAAGCCAACCTAAAAATAAGCTGCATATTTTTAACAGTAATCAAGCACTGAATAATCCACTAAAGCCTGTGGAGGATCTTCTTTCACTGCATGTTTTCAGATAAAAAAGAGATTGCTTTTCCAGGAGATGCACACTGCAGCACAGACCTGCCTTCCCAATCCCTGTATTTCCACGGAGATGGCCACACAGGGCTTTATCAGTTTCAAGATACGGCAGATTTTGTTACACGGGAAAAATGCTTCTATTCCAAACCACAAAGACTAGGAAATTTAACTCTGATGGATTATATATATAGGAAATGTCAGGTCCTGGAAAAAAAAATGGTGTGTATTTTGAGCAAGTTCCTAGGACTGGATGAGTAGGAATTTGTGCAAAGCCCTGGCTGAAAGGAGAGAGGTAAGCCCACGTCCCCTTTCTTCCTGCTCTCTCTCTCTCTCCTCTCTTTTTCCATCTTCATGGAAAATTTTTAGCATCTACCATAAAATTGCTGTGCTGGGAATACTGTGATAATTACATGGGAATGCAAGCTCTATGTAGGTGCCATAATCCAGGATTATTTTCCTGATGTATTTCTTAATTCAGTGTGTTGGTATATAGAAAGTCTGTGTTTAAGTGTGAAGCATAATACACCATAAATAAAAAAAATAATCACGTTCTACTGCTTGCTTGGAGAGGTAAAAAAATAAGAAAACTTTAAATAAAGTTAGAGTGCAATTTTCAGAGTCTCTCACCCAGACCTCACCCTCTGCAACAAGAGGAGGGGATAGCCCACACTTTCCTGAAATGTAAGCGGGATTTATCTCATTTAAACAGTCTTCTGTCTCCATGGAGCCAACAAGCACGAAACCCTTGTGAAAATCAGTTTTTATTTGTTAAGTGGCACGATGGCTTATTACCATTTAATACTTGGGATTCAGTGACGAGTCAGGGACAGGGTGTGTGAAGTGCCAAGCAAACAGGGAATGCCAGGCTGATTCCTGCCCCCAAAGAGCTGTGATTTTCCAGCATCAGCAGCCTTGTTGTCACTGCTCTGGATCCCAATCCTCTGCTGCTTTCAGCCTCACAAAGGAAGCAGCTCGACTGGGTGATGGGTGATGAAGCAATTTTTCCTGGAGGAATTCATGCACTGGAAAGGGCACCCATGATTTAAGGGATACACAGAGTATCAACATCCAAGGTCAAAAGCGGAGGACCACTGGAGTGGAGGCAAGGCTGGCTTTTCAGCAGCTGGAAATTGGGAGCACATCTGGGCTCTGGAACACCTCAGCCACTTCACCTGCGAGGCTGAGAAGCCAAACACGAGCCTGGTTTTGTGCCCCCTCACCTCTGACTGCCCTCAGGTCATGCAGGGAAGATGGCAAAGAAAAAACGGTGATTAAGAAGCAGACAAAATTTAAAGGAAGGGAAAATTAATTCTGAGGGGAAAATTCCATTGCCATCCATCGTGACACTGAGCAACGCATTTTTTAGGAATTGTTGGCAGATAGGTGAGGTCAAAGTGAAGAATGGGAAGTGTAAAACCAGTGGATGTCGTCACCTTTAATGGTTTCTTACAAAGAAAGAGCTGGGAATTGACACCGTGACCATAATGAGAGAATAACTAATTAGGTAAACACATTGTAAATGAAAATCACACTTTGTTATTGAGCATTTTTGGTTCTTAGTAATTTGTACTCTCAAAACATCACAGTTATTTATCACAAGCATCTCTATACTCACCCATTATTCAATGGATTTTCTTCAGGTTGTTAAAAGACTTTTTTTGAGGCCACCTGAGATCTTCTCCAGTCCTGACCTCAGTAATTCTAGTCACCATTAGTAAGAAATTTTGTTCATGTAAAAAAATAAACTTGAATAATTCACTGCAGTCTTGTGCTCATAGGATGTTGTTCACCTCTCAAACACAAAACAGGGGACCTGAATGCTGAGGTGGGACAGTTTTGTTTCTCCTGTTTCTATCTGAATTTTTAATTTTGAAGAAAGCTTGACTCCTAAAACATGATTTCCCCGTCCTCTAGAATGTTTCAAGAGCGCCTGGGAATTCTCAATATTGCTGTAAATATCCAACACCTTTATATATATATATGAATTAAATTCTAGGCCTCAGGAGTATTGTATCCAGGTAAAACCTAGCTTGATTATAAACTGAATGGAACTGTATCTGCCATACACAATTTTTTTAGAGAATTATGACCACCTTTTCAGACTAGGCATTAGTCTGGTGTTTTTCATCATCTTCTCTCTACTCAGCCAACAATTCAATTTTTTAAAAATCCTTCAGATGAATTTTATAATCAATTAATATCCTGTCCCTTGTACAGTCCAGTGGAGGTGCCCCTGCCTGAGATAAACTTTAAGGTCCCTTTCAACCCAAATCGTTCTATGATTGTATGAATATGTGCTATATTACCCCCCAAAACACAGAGGGCATTTTCCACAAACACTCACACTCTGATCACTTTTTATGTACTTTTATTGCAAACATAGGTGCAGAAAATTCTCCCTGGAGATTTGTTGCCTGGAACATGTTCACTAAAAACATACTCTGCAAAATTGGGATGATACAGTACATTGCCTAAACACAACACAGGACACTGCTGTCAAGATTAACAACCAGAAAACCCATGGCAAAAATTAAATATATATATATTATTGGGGGCTGGAACGAAATAAGCTTAAATGCCTCTTCCAACCCAAACCAGTGTATTTATGGTACAAATAAAGCACATTACTGCATGAATTGAATGTGTCGTGTGTTTTCCTTAATATCCCCTCTAAAACCGGGAGGGTGGACAGGCCAGAGGGTGGACACGACACGGATGAGGGCATGAGGTGGAGGCCACCTGGGCCCCACGAGGGTCCCAAAACATCGGGAACAACGCCGCGAGCAGACTTCAGAGCAAGCACAGGTGCTTCCCAGGCACACAGCCCAGCGGGCAGAGCCCATGGGAAGGGATATTTTGGGATAAAGAGTCACTGAGGACACTCTCAGGGTGCACCTCCCCAGGCACTGTGTGCGTGTGGGGAATTGCCTTGCCCCGCCGCCGCCCGGCAGGGGGCGCCCTCCTCGCCCCTCCCTCCCCGGGGCTCCCTCACTCTCCCCCCCCGCCCCAGCGGGCGATGTCTCCGCGCCACCGCCTGCACCTCCTGCTCTTCCTCCGCACCCTCCACGGCTCCGCCTTCGCCATGGGCGACTGGGCCTCCCGCCTGCCGCAGCCGAGCGAAGCGCTGCCCGGCAGGACGCAGCGCATGGCGGTGCCAGGTAAGTGCGAACTCCGTTCCCTTCCTCTCCCGTTCCCCCCCGGCTCCCGCCTCAGCCGCGCGCCCCTTCCCCGCGCTCCGTCTGCGCACGCGCGGTGCCCTCGCGGCGGGGCGGGGCCGCGGCGGCGCGTGCGCGCTGAGGGGCGGGGGCGGGGGGAGCAAGATGGCGGCGGCGGCGGGGGGTGCGCGCCGTGAGGGGGGGCCGGGGACAACGGGGTAAATGTGCCTTGGGACGGTGTTTGTGTCGAGCGAGGACGTTTTTTGTGTGCCGTAAGGTGGATGGGTTGTTGGAGCGCGGATCTGTGTTGGCCCAGAGAAGCTGTGGCTGCTCCTGGATCCCTGGAAGTGTCCAAGGCCAGGCTGGACAGAGCTTGGAGCTGGGATAGTGGAAAGTGTTCCTGCCCGTGGCAGGGGGATGGATCTGGGTGGGATTTAAGCTTCCTTTCCACGCAAACCATCCTGTATTTATTGTCCATAATTTCTCTTGGCTATGTGTGAGTTTTCTCTTTATTTTTTACTGAAGCTAGCAACAGGGTTTTAAGCAGATTTCTTTAGCCCTTATTGTTTTTGTTAAATAGTAATACTTAAAAATAAAGCCACGACATGCTGTGTATCTTTTGTGGGTGTTCTAGGAAGAAATCTTTTCCTGTGAGGGTGGTGGGACCCTGGCACAGGGTGCCCAGAGAAGTTGTGGCTGCCCCTGGATCCCTGGAAGTGTCCAAGGCCAGGCTGGACAGGGCTTGGAGCAACCTGGGAAAGTTCAGAACTTCCCTGCTCATAGCAGTGAATGGAATGAGATGAACTTTTAAGGTCCCCTCCCAAATAATTTTGTGATTCTGTTTGCAAAGTGCTTTTAAGTTCTTAATAATTCTTCCCGTTATTTTTTTTTTCCTTTGAGTAGATGTGTGCAGTCAGGTAAGCAAACTAGCAACCCAGAATGAAGGAATTTACTTTATGACAGTCCTCCTAGGAACTGAAGGTGTTCCAAGATGACAGTCAGTGCTTTTCTAGTGGAATTTAGTGGCACTGAGGTGCTCTAACACATTTATTGCATAGTTCACATACAAGGTATTTATTGAACAAGATGTTATTTATATATATCTTTGCTTCAGGCTCCTATGGACCCTAACCAAGTATGTGCACTTAGGGCATAAAATAAATACTTAAACACATTAAGTGTGTAAGTGCTGGTGGAAGAATTACAAATGGATGATGCCATAAGCCCAGTGGTCAAGAGAACAATAAAATCTTGCATTTTATAGATACTTAGTAAAAAGCTGAAGGTAGTGGTGAAATTAAAAGTATCAGGAAGAATATTATTTCTGATGTAGAGAAAGTGGTCTCAGAGGAGGAGTGCAGAGGTGAGGTTTGTGCAAATACAGAAGTGAGCTCCAGAGATACCAAGAGTACCAGAGATTGCACCAGCAGTAGCACATTGCCTGGGTTAAAGTGGCAGCTTCATGTTGTTTGTTGAGAAAAGAATGGCTGGAAGACACACCAAGCTCATTTTATGCTGAGTAACTGCACAGGTAGAATAATTCTAGCTGCTGTACACAAAGCATCCTCATAAGAGCAAATGCAATTTTGTAAAATGTTTTTTCTGTGGCTAAATGTGGTATTATGTGTTTAAAACCAGCATGGCCCTCCAGTGAACTGTCAGTGTTACAATAAGATGTAAACTGGTCAGAAAGGAATGGCAATTCAAAGTTTAGGCTGATGATCAACCCAAGGCTGATTGACCTTGCAAACCCTTCCTGTGTTAATAATTTTTTTTTGTGAGTTGGGAACCAGGACTGGACCTGGTATTCCCGGTGAATTCTTACCAGTACAGCATAGGAGAGAGGGATTTTTCCTTTCTCTGCTGTCCAGAGTCCAGCTTGCTTTCTCTGTGAAAATGTGCACTGTGAGCACATTTAGCCTGGCATCCAGCAGGACCACAGCTCCTTCCCAGCAGCTCTGAGATCATCTTGCTCTTATTGTTGAGCCTCCCTGAGGTTCCTGTTGGTGTAGACCTGGAATTTTTCCAGCTCTCCTCGGGTAAAGCCCTGCTGCTTGCTGTGTGTGCTCTGGCTGTGTGTATAACGCTGCCCTCAGATCTGCTGAGCGTGTTTCCTGTCACATCACTCACGTTGCTGTTGCAGCCATTGAATGATTCTGGCCCCAGCATCAGCCCCTGGGGTCACCTGCTGCCCACCAGGCATGAAGGTATCGATCCTTGCCTTTGGAGGCTGCTGCTCCTGCCCGTTTTTGACACGCAGGCTGTTCCTCCGGCCAGGACTTTGTCAGCTCCCACAGCAAATGCTGGGAGAGAAGGTGTCAGAGCCCTGCTGAAGTCAACATGTGTCACAGCCATCATTTCAGCCTAAAAGGGCAGCTCAGCTGGACAAGCATGATTTGCTTTGGTAAATGTGTTAGCTATTCCTGATTACTTTCTTGTTCCCTATTTGGAAATAATTTCTAAGAGGGTATTTTTCATATCCCAGGATATCTCCTGGGACTGAGCTCAAGCTGAGCATCCTATACCCCTTCAATTCTTTTTTTTTTCCCCTTTTTAAAAAGTGATTGTTACTGTAGCCCAGATCTCATCATCAGAGATCCCCAATCACTGTGGTTTTTCATTATTTCTCATCTGTGACAGTTCTGATGGCCACACCAGCAAACTTGACCTCCCAGCTCTGGAAAATCTCCATATAGCTCCTTGGATTTAAACACACTTGGCTTTAAGTAGCCATAACCCATTTTTCCTCACTTTGTTTGCTGCTTTTCTTTCTGACTGTACCAGCCTGGAGAGGTTTTGGAGCAGTTGTTTGTGCAAAAGAGTACTTCAGTCTTTTCTGTACTCACTTCTAGACTGTCTCCTGTATTCATCAATGCACCTTGATTCTTTCTGAGCTTCTTGTTACTCCTGTAATTTTTGTGGATTCATTTCTTATTGCCATTTATGTCCCCAGCTAGGCTGAACTCCAGCTTTGTCCTCGCTGATTTTGTGCCTAAATGCTGAGGTGGTGCTGTTCTGTGCCTCCTTTGTTGCTTGTTTTTGGTCTCTCTATTTTACTATATTAAGCAGCTCTGTGTTTCTGATGAAGTTCCCAGTTTTTCTACATGATGTATTGTTCCTTAACTCTCTTAGAAAGTTTTTTTTTTTTCAAAATTCAAATCAACCTGAAGAGCTTTTTTCTCCCTCCCAGGGGCTTCTACCTTTCAGGGGCTGCAGCTCCTCTGAAGGGACAGAGGAGGGACAGCTCCAATCTCTGCTCTCTGTGACCAGGGACAGGGCCCAGGGAACAGCTGGAGCTGTGTTAGGAAAGGTCTGGGATGGATATCAGGGAATGGTTCTTCCCCCAGAGGGTGTTTGAGCACTGGAACAGCTCCCCAGGGAATGGTGACATTCCCAAGGCTGCCAGAGCTCCAGGAGTGTTTGGCCAATGCTCTCAGGGATGCACAGGGTGGGATTGTTGGGGTGTCCTGGGCAGAGTCAGGAGTTGGACTCAATGATCCCTTCCAATTCAGGATATTCCATGATTCCATGATCATTCCCTATATGGAATATATCGTTCCCTATATAAGGAATGTAGCAAGTTGAAAATGCTAAATCTGTGCACCTTTCCAGCCCTGCTTTGGATCCCCATGTCTGCTGTGGTTACTGCCAGGACTGTTTCCCTCTGGAGCTCTGTGCTCTCAAGGAGTTGTGTTTCAGTACAGTGCAGCTCCCCATCCTTTTTTCTATGCTAGGTAGGATTATTCCTAAACCCTGCATAACCTGCTCTGCTCCCTGCTCCAGCTGTGGGTGCTGTGCCAGGTCTCTGCTTCTTGTCACATCAGACACAAGGTGTGCCCACACCTGGACATTCAGGTGAGCCAAGCTCTGCCTTAGGGTGGCAGACACTTGAGGAAAACTTCTGCCAGAGCCTTGTGGACCTGCAGTGTCCATCCTCTTCACCTTCAGTGTCCATCCTCTTCACCTTCAGTGTCCATCCTCTTCACCTTCAGTGATGTTAGCAGCCTTTCCCTTTCCTAGGTGAAGAGATGCAGAGCATTTAGCTCCTTGTCTCTTGGAGATCCCATTGATTTCCTGCTCCTCATCCTGATGGGATAAAACATCCTTGGAGCTCCTCCCTTGTGTTGCAGCAGCCGTGTTTGCCACAGCAGAGCTCCCAAAAGTGAGGCTGCTGCTGCTGAGATCCCTGTGGAGGAGCTCCAGGCTCTTCCCAGAGTTCTGCTGGAGGGAGATTCAAGTTCCAGAGATGTTGGTGCACACTGAGGATCCAAGAACATCATGCAGTTAGAGCTGGATAAACCACTCTGCATTAGCTGAAAGGAGTACAGACATTGGCAAACTTCACTTGCTTTTTTGTAAGCAAGTTGAGTTTATTGTGTGTTGTACAAATTTCATAACTGGGAATTAGAGTTTGTTGTGCTGTTTTCTTTCCTTGCAATAGAGCATCTGCATTCATTTTTAAAAATCACCTCTTTTATATCCTTGTACAATGGTGCAATATGATATTGTGCTTTATAGTAAAAACACACATTATTTATTTATTGCTTCTACCTTTCTAGTATAACTCTACTTTTCAGAGTTAATTTTAGTTCGATTACTGCTAAAACATGGCTGTGTTTTCTGAGTGTGTGAGGATATATTGCTTACACTATTTAATGAAGTATTTTATGACAGTGGTAGGAGCACTAGTCAAGGAGCCCTATGAATGTAGATGTTGAGTAACATATATATATATATATATACACACACAGAGGTTTTTTTCTGCTAGATATCCTGAGGTAGCAATGTGTAATAAATTAAAAGAATGTTTTTCCTGCTCTTCCCACTGAGAGCAGTGTCAGAGAATATCTTCCTACACATCTGTAGTGGCTTGACTTTTTTGAGGCAGAGAAAGTGCAGCCTTAGGATTGTTTAAACCCATTAGGCCTCTTAGCTTTATATCTAAAGATTAATAGAGCAGTAATTACAAATGTGAAGGAGGTCATGGTGAATTTTAGTCTGAC